TGTGTCCCTGCCTGTGTCTCTTCTCCTCTTTTATAAAGACACTAGTCATATTGGATTAGGGCCCACCCTACTCCAGTGTGACCTCATATTGACTTAACTAATAACATCTTCAAAGACCCTGTGATGGTTAAGGTTGTGTGTCAACTTGCCTGGGACATATTCTCAGTGGTTTTGCAGTTATATAATGATGTAGTTTGGCAGTTACATAACAATGTAATTTGGCAGTTGTGTAATGATGTAGTCATCCTCCATGATGTGATCTGATGTGATCAGCCAGTCAGTTGTAAGGAGAGTTTCCATGGAGGTGTGGCCTGCATCCAATATATATATGGATGTTCTGGCAAAGCTTGCTTGCTTGCTCTGGATCCTGCATCCGGCTCGTCATCATCTGACGAGACTTGAGCCAGCTGCCTGCTGTATTGCCTGCAGTCTTGGGATTTGTCACCTTCCACAGCCTGTGAGCCAGCAGCCTGCTGTGTGACCTGCCAATCTTGGGTTCGTCAGCCCCTGCAGCTACATGAGTCAGGAGAAGGCTCCAGCCTGAGGCCTGACCCATGGACTTGGGATTTGCCAGCCTCTACAACTGCTTGAGCCATTTCCTTGAGAGAGAGAGATACACATACATATATATATACACATATATGTATATATATACATGCGTGTGTGTGTGTGTGTATATATACGCTTACTGGTTTTGCTTCTCTAGAGAACCCAGCCTAAGACAGACCTTATTTCCAAACAAGGTCACGCTCACAGGTACCTGAGCACAACAAGATGAACATAATATCCCTAAATTGTACATTTAAAGAAGGGTGAAATGGAAAATGTTTTGTTACATACACATTTGCCACAATTTTTAAAAAAAGGGTTCCTGGGGTTAGAATTTCGGCTATCTTTTTAGCGGACACAGTTCAATCCATAACACAGGGTCTCCTAAAAGATAGAAGAGTTTGAACGCCCAGTTACCTATATATATTTATTTTCTTCCTTCTGTTAGTCTTGGGGTTCTCAGGCTTTAAGATATGTATAGAATTGTAAACACAAAACTATATTCACTGTAATCATAGATCCCCACACTGCCTCTCCCTCACTTCCTTCGGATCTCTCCTCCAACGTCAGACCTTCCCAGACCACCCCATATATATTAGCAACCCCAGCACTCCCTGCTCCCCCTCACTCTGGTTTATTTGTTCCCTGTCACCCATGTCCCCACCTGACAGTCCTATATATTCGCTTGTTTGTTTGTTCAGTGTCACTCCTCTCACTAGAATGTCAGCGCTTCATAGACCAGGACATAGTCACAGTGCTTAGAACAGCGCCTATTCAATAAATACCTGTTGGATGAATGAATGATTATGAATGCCAAATTTTAGGGCCATCCGAGGGGCTGGATCTTTGCTTTAAGGACTGCCTTTGGGACCTACTACTTTGGAGTCCCTGGGAGGTGCAAATGGTTACGCGCTCGACTACTAACGGAAAGGTTGGTGGTTCGCATCCACCCAGAGGTGCCTTGGAAGAAAGGCCTGGCAGTCTGCTTCTGAAATGAAAACCCTATGGAGTAGTTCCACTCTGCACACATGGGGTTGCCATGAGTCAGAATCAACTCAATGGCAACTAACAACAGCAATACCACTTTGGAATTAGATGGTGCTGGCGTGGTGGCGTGGTATTTCCCGGGAGGAGACATCAGCAAAGCTTCTGACATGTCCACCATTCCCTGTCTTACACCAGGTGAATATAGCACACATAATGGACCATCCACACCAGCAAAAGAGGGAGACACAGACAGGCCCCACCGGGCCTCCGATGGGAAGCTCCGAGGCCGGTCCAAGCGGAGCAGCGACCCCTCTCCCACTGAGGACAATGAGATCGAGGTAACTGCCAACAGCCTGTTTTTCACTTGGTCAGCGTACTGTCCATCTGTGGCCTGAACAGGAAGTAGAGGGAGAGCGTGATCTCCAAACACGTGGGGAGAGTTGTCCTTTGGGTTCACAAAGCGCAGTAACAGAGACAAGAGTGCTTGAAGGTGAAGTAGGGGGGAATTAGGTCGGACTTCAGGAAGCACTGTGGGCTGACCGGGCGAGGAAAAGATGACCCCC